CCCCCCCCCCCCATTTTTAATTAATTAAAAAACAGTTGAAAAGGGTTGACAGATATCATTATTAATATTAAGTGTGTATATTTTATATATACATGTAAAGTTGTTCTTGAGTCAACTTGTCATTAATTATACATATAACAAAAAAATTTTTTTTTTACATTTAAATAAAAATTGGGAACATTGTTTTTTTGTAATTGTTCCTACTTCTTCTTGATTTGTAGTCAAATCATTCACGGTCAACCCTTCAGTATTCACACATCAAAGCAATCTCTTTGAGTGAGAGCATGTGCGTGTATGGACTCTTTACTGCTTCTCCTTCACATTCTTTAAGATTAAGAGAGGACATGTTTGGCCTCATGTTGAGAACATCATCAATCATATCTCCATTTTAGGAAACGCTCAGCCTCTGAGATTCCAGAGGGTTGCCAGGTTTCTGGCTGGCTCATACTCGCTCCTGACCTGCAGCAGGGCACTGTCCAGAAGCTGTCTTCTCTGCTCCGTCTTCTCCAGGATAGTCTTCCAGCGCTTGTTGAGGTTCTCCAGCTTGTTCTGCAGACCTCGCGCCTCCTCTCCAGCACTGGAATCAATGAGGTCACTGCCGGCCTTGTTCACTGCCTCCACCGTGGTCTTGTGGGCCAGCACATCGTTCTGCAACACCTACCCAATGGAAAGAAATGACCATACGTCTGAGTGTTTCTGTGGCTCAGTGACTGCATTATGAACTCGTTTTCACTGTGACGTACGTGGTGTTTTGCGAGCTCAATCTCGATGGCTTTGGGGTCGCCGCAGGCCTTCCTCTGTTCACTAAGCAGTTCTTCGGTATGAGTGAGCCAAGCCACAAGTTCATCTAAAGCATGCTGGAACTGCCCTAGAGCCAACAGCGCTCCTTCCAGCTTGTGCTACAAGACATCAGGACACACAGCAGTCATTACAAGAATGCTATGAATGCGTAGTGTAGTGAGAAATCAAGTATTGTTATTTCTGTGCTGGAGATGTGAGTCAACCAGCGGTGTGCGTTTGGGGCTGGACTTCTTTTCGATAGTCTAAACTTCTTTAAGAACAGTCTGCATTACTCGAAAATATGTCAAATGCATTTCAGTGTCAAGTTAATTAACGATGTAATTCTGTTCTGTTCATGTCGCAATGCAAACCTAATTTGTTATAATAAAATAGGCCCATGTTATTAATTTCAATGCTGTGACAATTAATGAATATAATATGATATGATATGATATATGATATGAAACGATACGATACAATACAATACAATATTGATACGATACGATACGATATAATACGGTACGATATAATATAATATAATATACAGACTGATTAAACTCAAAAGCCTTAATTTTTTATGAAGGAAGACCTTTGACTATCTTTGTGTACTTTACAGCAGTGTGTTTTTTATTCCTTATTCTTTACTACTTGTGCATTTGATGACATTTCTTTAAATGCTTAAATTTCCCTTATTAGGATCAATGAAATGTAAACTGAACAATCAGTGCAATTATCTATAAATGCAACAGGCCTACACGTGAAATCAATTGTTCCTATTTGTTTTCATACACATTTATAGTCTTTCTGGTCACACCTAATTTTTAACAAGCCAATCAATTCCCAGTGTATAGAATCTGCTACCTTTTGGAATTTCCTGTTGCACTCTGGGATAGATCACATTACAGACACAAAATGGGTCCTTCTCGGTGCCTGACCTGTCTGTTGATAATCTTTTTATCCAGGTCGTCCCAGAGCATTTTCAGCTCATTCATTGGCTCCAGGATGGAAGTGCGGTCGGCTTCCTCTACCACCTTCTTCAGCAGCAGCCCGGTCTGATGGTTCAGCCTTTCCATCTCGATCTGAAGCTGGTACGCATCACCTTTGAACTCCTTCACACACACGACAGCACAGCTTACATCAGGATACTGTTTCACTATGGCTGCATTTACACAGCAAGGATTAATGCAATGATCGGATATTTAGATTTTTGTTCTCCCTGTTAACATTCACTAAAGACATATCTGACTGTCTTTACGATAACATACTGCAGGCTATTGTGTGCCACTAATAAATTCTTGTAGGAATTACGTACAAATAAAATCTTGGGCTAAAAGCATGTTATTTCACCTGTAAGCCATTTTAAAAGCATGAATGGTTAAACATTTACAATTGTGCAGGCTTAAACCAACTGTGTAAGATGAAACAAATGAATGGCTGCGTGTAAACACAGCTGCTGTGTGGTCTGTCAGCTCAATTATACTCACGAAACAATCAAAAATGAAAGAGGCTGGAGATAAATAGCTCTAAACTTTGATCTAGATCCACTATGACTGACAAAAAAGCATCACGTCATGGCTATGAGAAAATCTCCCACACGCAAGCAGTAAATCAATACCTTCAGCTCCTCGATCTGCTGTTTCACAGTCTCCAGGTCCGTGCCCACGGGCGACATCGAATCCAGTTTGCCTTCCATAATATCCACCGAGTCAAACATGTTCTGTCAGGGAGGAGAAAACTATTGTCACATGCTGCACAACATCCGCACCTTGCATCGAGTCGAGTTTCACTTATAGCCCCGATACAAATGTGGCTCAGGTGACGGTGAAAATGAACAAAACTAAGCCACACCTAAACCAATTCTACTCAAATCTGGAGTTTTGGGCAAACAAGTGCAACTGGTTAATATTCACAATAGAACAGACTTTATGAGACATAAAACTTGAATTATTCAGCAACCAGGGTGAATCATTTGTTTAGCATGATTAAAGTAGGGCATGTTCTCGATCTGGTTATGCTATGACAATGACAAAAAGCACTTTTTTCTCTCTCTCTTTTTCAAAGTCTCCACGTACCCTCTTGGTGCCAGCCTGGGCTGAATCACATCACATGAATCATTCATTTAACACAGTTTTTTCCCTAATGAGCACATTCAGCATGATAGCAGATCAGACTATGCTGACTACAGACTAGCTCGGGAAGCTTCCCATGACTGCATGAGCAGACAGATCTGTGGTCAGAGTCATCAGGAGGGTAGTGGTCTGTGTGTGTCATATTTACCTGGAGACTGTCCTGGAACTGCACCGCAGCCTGCATGGCTTCCTCTAGAGTCTCTACTCTCTCTTTCCATGTCTTACTGAGGGTTTCCCAAGCTGAGTTCACCTGAGGGACGTACGAGATGTGGTCAGACATTATACAGTGTGACGCCAACTCTGACTCATCCAGCACTTCAGTTACACCAGGAACACTTACATCCTGGGTCTAAAATGAACAATTCAACAAAATGTATTCCATTTATTCTCCTATGAAGTCATTACCTCATCTATACTTTTCTTGATCACTGGTTTATCGGGTTCTCCACACGCTGTCATAAGCTCCGCCCCCAGATTCTGGACCACATTCAGTTCTTCCTGCAGCCCGTCGATCTCTTCTCTAAAGCCCTGTGAAGCAAAACAGCAACTATGAAGATGTTTCGCAAAGCTGAATCAATATCAAACATCCTGTTCTGAAGCCTCCAGACCTCTGCAGACTCTTGCTGCTGCTTGACCACTGAAGGATCGACTCCAGGCTCCTCCAGCTCTTTCAGCAGATCATGCGTGTCTTTGATGGTGACGATGAGAGCGCAGTGATCACACCAGAACTTCTCGGCTAAGTCCATAACATCCAGGAGCTTGGCTTCTCTTTCCTCCAGAAGAGCTTGGATGTCATTCCATAGAAACACCATCAGGTCCAGCTTATCTTGAACAGCTTTAAACAAAACAGAAGAACGCATTTTATCACACTGCTTTAAAACCAAGTAGTCACTTAAGCCCAGATCTCATTCGCTGAGAAGACAACAGCACAGTTACCTTTGGCCGAAAGGTCCTTGTCTGCTCCTTCGGAGCGAGCGATCATCTCCTCTCCTCGCTGCTTGAGGGTCTCATAGGACGGCTGAAGTTTCTCCAGGTCTACATTCACGGCTTTGTTATCTGATATCTGCTCACGGATCTTCTCCACCTCGACAGAGATGGATGGAGGCTGGCGCAGGCGTTCGGCGATGCGCTCCAGAGACTCCAGCATGGGGTCTATCTTATCGTGGAACTGTGGAGATCATTGACAAGCAGAAATGTTGTCAAAGACGTCATTTACATACTTAGGTCTTGAAGGTATGGTAGCAACAGCCTGCTTTCTTCTTCTAATGGTGAAAGAGAGGAACATTAAAGGGACAGTTCACATAAAAATTGAAATTATGTCATCATTTACTGATCCTCAAGTTGTATGAGTTTCTTTCTTGTGTGGAACATAAAAGATGGTAATTTGAAAAATGTTGGTAACCAAAGAGTTGCTGGTAACGTAAAAATACTATGGAAGTTAGTGGCTACCAGCAACTCTTTGGTTGCCAACATTCTTCAAAATATATATTTTTTTGTATTGAACAGAAGAAAAAAATCATACAGGTTTGCAACTACTGGAGGGTGACTAAATGATGACAAAATTGTAATTTTTGGGTGAACTGTCCCTTTAACCAATGCTACAAAAGGGCAGAAAACGACGCCAATGAAATACTGCAATGCACCTGAGTGGATTTAGAGATGGCCTCGTCCAGGGCAGCAGCTCTGTGCTTGACGTCGACTTTAAGCTGGCTGTACAGTTTGTCTGCGGCCTCGTATTTCTCTCTGATTGGCGCCCCCTCAGTGGGACTCAATTCCAGCAGCTGAGGTCCAGTTTTATTCATCTTGTCAATGTGTGGTTTGTGCTCTGCTATCACCTCTCTCATTTGCTGAAGATGGAAAGTTTAATATAATCAGAATAAAAAGCAGTGGATTTTTCATAACATTAAAAAAAAAAAAAACTGTTAAAGGTCAAACACAATCCGACAACATATCACGCAGATCTCAAATAGCATCTGTCTGGCCACTGATGTACATAATACTTTATCCTCTTAGCCATTCTAATGAAGCACTAAGCCATTTGAGGTGCTGCATTACCGTGATTTTCGCACAAGGCGAAACCATAAACCATTATATGTAAATTCATAGTCACGAACAGCATATTGCTTTAACAAAATAGCAACTATACATATATATATATATATATATATATATATAGGGCACAGTGCCATTTTCCCCTACTCAGTATCTACTATGCTATGTTTGAGAGAAATGACTCTAGTTCCACAAAGAGGATAAGCAGGCAATGGATAGTAATCCAACAACAGCTCTCCATTTAGGCACTTCATGTCCCCACATGCTGTGTGAATTTCATACAGTCCCAACTCTTGTAAATACGATGAACCATGAGGAGTTAGAAGAAAGTACACATTTTTATCCATTATTAGCAAAAGTTCGATTTGTGCAAACTCTGTTGGCATGCAAGGACTTGTGCAAAGAAAAAAGCTCTTTTTGTAAAGAGTGCCTTTCCACTGTATCTCAGTGGATGCTACAAGAGCACACTGATCAGGTAAGCTTGCCTCTACTGCACTGCGTACTGCATCACTGTATAAGTCTGCATAGAAAGGGGTGGACTGCTTCACTTGCAAAGTAGGAGCAAAGACAGAACTGGAGTATAGATATGTTTGGAGAAGTTGGTGGTTATTTGCAAGTGTCTGGCAGACATTTTTGAAGTTTTGTGTTCTTCTCACACATCTTTTAAAATAGGAATGCTTACTCTCAAATCTCAGGTTCATGGTATTCAGCTCCAATAAATGGTTTGCAAAAAAGAGACACTGGATAAATGTTTGATATCATTATTTAATCACATTGGAATCAAACTGAGAATCGAAAAGAATCGGAATCGGAATCAGAATTGATAAAATTCAAACGATACCCAACCCTATATATATATAACAGAAGTGTCCCTATGTCTACAATTTCTTATAACACATCTACACTGGAAGAATCACCTTATCACCTCACACTAGATACTGTATGTTTACATGCACTAGTTTTTGTAAAATGCATCACAGCACCACTGTGCAAAGTTGAATCAGGTTGAGATAATAATCAGATTCAAGAGTTTACATTTCCTGTTGATTGGATTATTTCGGGTCTAAACCATCAGATCGAAATGCATTTGGATCGACTGAGGTGCTCACATGAAGAGTTTTCAGTCTTACCCTCAGCTCCTCTTGTTGCTGTCGAAGGGCTTCGTACTCGATAGCCGGCTGGGACAGCTGAGTGAAGGTAGTCCTCGTCTCCTGCAGCCATGGCCAGAGTTCATCGTACGTCTCCCAGAACTGGGAGGCTAGAGAATGAGCTCTCTCCAGCTGCAGACAGCGCTCTGAATTCAGCTGACTAACCACACTGTATTTCTCTGACAACGCCTGGAGCTTCACCTGTATGACACCACAGTGATTTTAGTCCTAAAACTCTACTGCACACAGATTAGGCTCAGTTTTTTTTAAAAATACGTTTTCTTTTATTTACCCTCAACGTCTGCTTCTCTGCCTCATCTTTTTTGTTTATAATGGCCTCGCCGGTCTTCACGATGACATCCACGGCATCTTTATGTCTCATAATGTCCATGGAGAAGCTCTGGAGGAGAAAGTGTGCTTTAGGCAATGCGAGCTTTATAACGTACTGTGTGTTTCTGTGATTCTGGGACAGCGCAGGTTAGAGACGACCACATGAACACACGACTGACCTTCTGAGCCTGCAGTTGAGCTGTGGTCTGCTCCGGCTCAAGCCTGACGTCCCCAAGGCAAGACAACTTCCTCTCTGCCTCCGTCAGCCACTCGAGCTCAGAGGTGGCTGCCTGCTCAAACTGCACATCAGGGAACAAGCATTCACACACTGTGCATATCACATTTCTATACACCATACAGTATTTCATGCAATTCAGCTTAGATTAATGTCATATAATTTAAGACACAGAACTCAATATTAAATTAAAATAAACCATTACAGTGAGCACTAAGATTTACTATGTAGACATATTATTTTAATATTCATAATGAACGGCTTCTTCTCCAATCCACCCAGAGAATTAATGGAAACAAAGCTGCGAAATCATGCCATAGAGAAATTCACACATCTTTGAGCTCATTAACATGATTCCCCACATTTACATAACAAAACATATTGAATATCTGGGCAAATGAAGACAGATTGTTACTTGTTTTACAAGCAAAGAAATTAGCCAATCGGGTAATTTGCATATATACGTCTAAAAACAGCATGCTTAATTCTAAGAGCACAAAACGTTCATGAAGAAATTAAATTAAGATTTTGGTTCAACAAACATTGACATTATAACTGGACTCATAAAGTCACAAAAATGCATACTGTTCCTCTTTATAATAACAAAATGACCAAACTTAATAATAATAATAATAATTCAAATGTATCATATATTTACCTTACATATTATTTTACAAACCTAGGCAAGTCAGCTATGCATGAATTAATTTAGGGGCCATTTACACGACAACGTTTTCAGCCAAAAACGGGAGACTTTTTATGTTCGTTTACATGACAACGGCGTTTTGGGGACTGAAAACGCATATTTTTGAAAGCGGGTTTCAAAGTGCAAGTTTTTGAGAACGCCACCGTTATCGTTTACGTAAACACCCAATACAGGAATCTTTGACCCATGATGAGTAGTGTCCATCAGCTAAAGGAGTTTTAATAGCTGTTACAGCAGGTGTATGTCTTACCCTCAGCTCCTCTTGTTGCTGTCGAAGGGCTTCGTACTCGATAGCCGGCTGGGACAGCTGAGTGAAGGTAGTCCTCGTCTCCTGCAGCCATGGCCAGAGTTCATCGTACGTCTCCCAGAACTGGGAGGCTAGAGAATGAGCTCTCTCCAGCTGCAGACAGCGCTCTGAATTCAGCTGACTAACCACACTGTATTTCTCTGACAACGCCTGGAGCTTCACCTGTATGACACCACAGTGATTTTAGTCCTAAAACTCTACTGCACACAGATTAGGCTCAGTTTTTTTTAAAAATACGTTTTCTTTTATTTACCCTCAACGTCTGCTTCTCTGCCTCATCTTTTTTGTTTATAATGGCCTCGCCGGTCTTCACGATGACATCCACGGCATCTTTATGTCTCATAATGTCCATGGAGAAGCTCTGGAGGAGAAAGTGTGCTTTAGGCAATGCGAGCTTTATAACGTACTGTGTGTTTCTGTGATTCTGGGACAGCGCAGGTTAGAGACGACCACATGAACACACGACTGACCTTCTGAGCCTGCAGTTGAGCTGTGGTCTGCTCCGGCTCAAGCCTGACGTCCCCAAGGCAAGACAACTTCCTCTCTGCCTCCGTCAGCCACTCGAGCTCAGAGGTGGCTGCCTGCTCAAACTGCACATCAGGGAACAAGCATTCACACACTGTGCATATCACATTTCTATACACCATACAGTATTTCATGCAATTCAGCTTAGATTAATGTCATATAATTTAAGACACAGAACTTAATATTAAATTAAAATAAACCATTACAGTGAGCACTAAGATTTACTATGTAGACATATTATTTTAATATTCATAATGAACGGCTTCTTCTCCAATCCACCCAGAGAATTAATGGAAACAAAGCTGCGAAATCATGCCATAGAGAAATTCACACATCTTTGAGCTCATTAACATGATTCCCCACATTTACATAACAAAACATATTGAATATCTGGGCAAATGAAGACAGATTGTTACTTGTTTTACAAGCAAAGAAATTAGCCAATCGGGTAATTTGCATATATACGTCTAAAAACAGCATGCTTAATTCTAAGAGCACAAAACGTTCATGAAGAAATTAAATTAAGATTTTGGTTCAACAAACATTGACATTATAACTGGACTCATAAAGTCACAAAAATGCATACTGTTCCTCTTTATAATAACAAAATGACCAAACTTAATAATAATAATAATAATTCAAATGTATCATATATTTACCTTACATATTATTTTACAAACCTAGGCAAGTCAGCTATGCATGAATTAATTTAGGGGCCATTTACACGACAACGTTTTCAGCCACTTTTGGGAGACTTTTTATGTTCGTTTACATGACAACGGCGTTTTGGGGACTGAAAACGCATATTTTTGAAAGCGGGTTTCAAAGTGCAAGTTTTTGAGAACGCCACCGTTATCGTTTACGTAAACACCCAATACAGGAATCTTTGAAAACGGTGAAGTCATGTGCGTGCATAGTACGTTTTAGGTATGTAGACATGCGCAGTGCGTGCCGATTTTAAAGGCAAGCGCGAACAAACATACACAACAATGACGGAGTACATGGTACTCTTGTTGATGCTCAAGAGTTTGCTAACGCTTCTTCAGCAAAGTGTGGATTTACTTCACCAATATTACAACCAACAGCGGAGACGCATCATATACACACAGTAACAGGTACTGTTTACTAACAAGGTGACAGCGCCAACTACTG